AGGGTTTATCTGAGTTCCTCAAAACTTTTGAATTTCCCGCAGAAACGCCCGCATTTAAACGAACAATGAAACTTTGCTGGAGCAGGCTTTTGAACGGTCTTCAAGTGCGTAGGTATGGCGCTTCAACATTCTTGTTGTGGAAAAAGCGGTCTCAATTGAGACTGAACTCCGCTCTCCTCCGGACCCCATACGATTTCCCCTTTGCTTTTTCCACAAAAACGAATTCCAGCTTGCCTTCCGGAGACCTGCCGCCGAGGTCTGGCTCTGTCCATCACATTATATGACCAGCCTGTCGACGGTTTGCCTTAAAGACGTATTTCACTGGATCGCAAGACATTATTTCCCGCGAAGTTCGTCGAGAAGTTGATGCGTCGGTTGAACTTCAAAAGAAAACGAGAGTTCTGCGGGTTGTTCGGAGAGCAGTCGACATAGTCGCAGTGTCATTCTACGCCTTTGCTGCCTAATAGTGCGTTGAGAGACGATTTCAGTCAAATAGAAGGGCTGCGAGCTTTGAATCCGCCAACTTTCTTTAAAAGCCCAGAGCGGCTACTTTTCGCCTCTTGTTAAGATCTTCTTTTAAATTCTTCATGTTATGGGACACCGTAGAAATACGTAAAAAGGTGTCTCCGCAATTAAAGAGTCCGATTCGCAGTATTATTCTTTTCTGCACTTCTTTAGTAATTCAACGTTGTCCTCGTTCCAATGTTACATTTCAAAAAGAAAACAAGGCCGTTCACAATGCGATAGTTTCAAAGTAATCTCTTTGCCACACGGTGTCACCATGCGGGACCTGTTCCGCAGCTGATATGCTAAGAGAGCGATGGAAAATGTTAGCGTTGCAGAGCTTCTTGCAAGAATCGGCCAATGTCCTCGGTAGACGGGTGCGTCCTCTAACCGACGATCGCTGACAGTTTTCTCATAGTTGACGAAGTTTAGAACAAAGGGTAGGCAATCTCTTGACAAACCTCGATAATCTTTGGAACAGTCTGAATATGATCCATGTTGCTGATTACCTTGCAGAGTCCAGCTTTCTCCAGGTTGGGCTTCATCCATTGTCCTTGATGTGCGAGTGAAGATAATCTTCGAAGAGCTAGTA